GAAAACGAAAAGCATACTATAACATGTTGTGAAGGTCCAGCATTGACCGAATACAAAGTAGACCAGTGCGCGCGCGCACACACTTACTAGACAACTCCTACGTTTTTTAAGCGTGTTATACTCGGTCTTATTACATAAAGAAACTAATGTTACTTGCACAAGTTGCATAGTGTCTTTGTCATTGTGTACTAGTTCTTCTATGTACAATTTTATTGGCGGATGTGCCTACAGCAGAACTATATAGTTCGGTTGCCCGTGAAAGGCCATATCTTCGCATCCTCCTGCTTCTAATCAAGTTCCTACTATCCTAGCCTGGTGTGTCAAGAGGTGCGCATGTGGTCCATCCAAGTTCTATCGCTTGTAGAAGTTTTCATTATTATCCAGTTCTTTCTTAGATGTCTTGTGATGTAATTGATCTATTACTGTGGAAAAGCTCTACTTCCTTCCGCTCCACTAACTGAATTATCCCAAAACTGCCCTTCATTAAGGTGAAGTAAAACCAATCTCATGAGCTTATTATCCTAGATCATAACAAATTACTCCCTCCGTTCACAAAGATAAGATGTTCCAACTTTTTTCCGAAGATGTATATAAACACGTTTTAATGTGTGTGTTCACTCCTTTTGGTCCATATGTAATCCATATTGACATCTTATATTTGTGAACTGAGGGAGTGGATGATAGTGATAGGATCCCTTTATTGGCACATAAGTATCACTTCCATTTTCATGTTATGAGTTGGCTACACATGATTTCTTGATGATTTGAGCGTGAAGAAGATAAAATTAAAAAAATATGGGATCATGACTACCTGGATTTCCTTTGGTTCGAGTATTTATCAAATCAACACCAAAATTTCTACCAGGTATGTGAGACTATAGCCTCACAACCAAACATTTCATGCATATCGCATTCGTTCTTCCCTAAATCGGCTTGCCTACTTTTAATCTATATATACATTCTTAATTAGCTTAATCATAAGCGACTATCATGCCCGCTACATGTCCATCTTGCTGCCTCACAATGGTCGATACGAAATTTTTAGCATGCTTACTATAGTCTACTTAAATCTGTAACAGGTCTCGAAAACACAATTCACCTCTCTCTCTCTCTCTCTCTCTCTCTCTCTCTCTCTCTCTCTCTCTCTCTCTCAACCAACAACCGGCAACAATTTTTTGATGAAATATAAAAGTGCTCACGGTTTTTTTAAAATCATAAGTTTTAAAATGGCTATAAAATTCAAAAAAAATGTTCTTCGATTTTAGAAAGTGTTCACGAAATGAAAAATATTCTGAAATTTTAAAAAACATTTTTTTGTTTCACAAATTTTCATAAATTTTAAAACATGCTCACAAATTTTAAAAATATTCCAATATTTTCTAATATACTATTGGTTTTAGTTGTCCGAATTTAAAACGGAAAATGTATATAAAAAGAAAAAGGAAAGGAGAAAAAGAAATTGTTGAAATGGCCAAATAGAAGATATTAAAATGGAAAAAATAGAAATGAAAGGAAAATAAGTAAAACATATAAAAAACCATTAGTGACTAAATAAAACAGGAGACAACCAGAATAAAATGTGAAACCAACTACACTCGCAAGTATCCTGTTTGGGCCGACACATATACGTCGCTCCCATGCGATTCATAGTGTTTAGCCATTATAGATGGCAGTGCGCGATTAATAGGAAATTTACTGCCCCAAATCTTCTCCTTATGGTCTACTCTGTCCATGGCCCTCTTCTCCACATTGTAACATGTCATTAATTTGGATGCTATTTCTATATATTTATAATGTAATTCCTACATTTAAAACAACACTTGTCTATTCATTAATTTTTTGTTCAAAGGTGTGTGCCTTTTTAAAAGGGGTTAATTTCATAAATGCCACTCCAAATATGGCGATTACAAGAAATGCCAATGCAATTGTCAAACTTTGAAAAATGCCATTTCCAGTGTCATTTTACAAAGTCTACAGTGGCGTTTTTTAAAGTTTGCAAAAATTGCAGTGGCATTTTTCAAAGTTTGGAAATTGCAGTGGCATTTTTATGAATCGCCATATTTGGAGTGGCATTTATCTACTTAACCCTTTTAAAACGGAAATTTGGATTTTGCTATAGTAATGGACTTTATATTTGTTATCATACACCAATGTGCTTTTCTTCTAATCATAGTGGTCATTAGTTTTCCATCCAGTGGAAACACGTTTTTACAATATTTATGAATTACATTTTTGAATGTGATGTTCATACTAATTTGTTTTATAAAATGATATCCTTGCATTTGGGTATAATCAACTATGGTATATGTTATCGATTTTAAATCATGATCCATCTATGGAAACTATAGTGCATATTGGTTTTGTTGTAAGTCCAACTTTGTTAACTCCGACCAAGTTTATAGAAAAATACATCTACATCCACAATGCCAAATTGATATCATTAGGTTCATCATGAATATATTTTCATATTGTATTTATTTGGTATTTATATGTTAATATCTTTCGCAAACTTGGTCAAACTTTGGAAAGCTTAACATACGAGAAAACTAATATACACTATATTTTGACATGGAGGAATAGATTCAAAGTGCTCATAGTAAATGGCCGATAAAGATCATTATCTAGAAGACCTATTCTGTGAGAAAAAGATGGAGCTTTCATTGTTGCAGGACATAACAAATAATTTCTCCCAAGAATCGGAGATTGGTAGGGGTGGATGTGGAATTGTTTACAAGGTAATTATGTTCGGCTACTATTTCTTTCTTTTCATTCTAGGTTGAAGCTTTTTAGAACTTACTATACATAGTTTGTTTACATTAATGAACATATATGTAATGCATATATAACCAGAGATAAACACACAGGGGGCACTTCGAGATGGTTTTCTTGCTGTGAAGAAGTTGAATTTTGTTGCAAATAACAAATCATTTCTGGATGAGGTTAATTGTTTGAGAAGGATTAAGCACAAGAATATAGTACGATTCATCGGCTATGGTTTTCAAACAAACAAATACATTACAGTGGTAGGTGGGGACCTTGTCTTGGCAGAATCATCAGAGCGATTGATTTGCTTCGAGTATCTTCGCAATGGAAGCCTTGAGAGTTTTCTAAAAGATGGTATGGTACTGAGTTGTTTATACAAGTAAATTATATATGTTGTAGATTTTTTCAACGCGACACTTCTTTTGGTCAAAATTATGAAAAAAAATACACTTAGATTGCAGTTGAAAACATCATCATTTTTTAAATAATAAATTTTGAAAGTAGACTTTTAGACATGGGCAATAACTTAGGCCACACAAAGCTGACCTAAAACATTGGCTTTAAAAAAATGTAATTTACTCCTTCTACTTCATAATATAATGTATATATTTTTTTGAATTCTAACATTATTGTGTTTCACTAAGTTTGTAAAAAATATACATCAACATTTACAATAAAAAATAAATAAAACATGAAAACATATTTAATGATGAAGCTAATGATATTGATTTGGTACTACAAATGTTGATATATCTACTGATAAACTTGCTCAAACATTGAGAAGTTTAATTTAATAAAAATAACTAATACACCTTATAATTTTAAATAAAGAGGTTATTAATTTAACCATCTTTAGAATGCAATAATACTTTTTTACGTCATTTTTCTAACAAAATAATACAGGTCAAGTATTTTGAGTTGTGTTGACTTTTGGTTTTGGGCTAAAAACTAGAGCCTGAGGCCAACCTTACCATCAAGATTTCGATCATAGGAATTTGAGCTGGGTTGTTCGTCTAAGCCATGCCACTTGGCAACAAGGCATAAGTTAAGCTTGTCTCCATTTGTATGAGTATGACTATCAGAAGTGTATGACAGGCCTGCCTGGTTGCACATTCCTATACCTCAGGGCATCCCTCAAACCCTCCTCATTTGTCCTTTTGGATTTGTTTCAGGCAAAAAATGCACCGAAGGGCACCCCCCCCCCCCTCCCAAATGTTGGCTTTGTGTCTGAATGGCCACCATTCCCTCCCCAATTTTTCGAAAGAATTGAGCAGCAATGCAAAGACATTTTGTTTGCCCTGGCCCAGCTTGGACCCACTGAAACCACCTTTTCCTCCGCATAAACAGGCTCCTCTCTCTCTCTCTCACACACACACACACACAGACACACAGACACACACACATTGTAGCAACCAACTCCCCTCTCCCTTAACTCTCCACGTCTCAACACCACATAGTTGCCATCCTCTCACAACCATGTTTTGTCGGCTCACCCTAGAGGAGAGGGAACACACCCATGGCGCGTGGCTACTAGGGATCTACTGGGGATTGCTACCATCGACGAATCTGACGTTGCTCGTTGTCAAGCCATCCAGCGGCTCTACTGGCTTTGACATAGGCAATGCGCCTCTTTGGCTGGCTTCGATTCGTATGCCATAATGGTCTCCTCCAGTGAAGAAGCAATATATATAGAAGGGGAACGGTGACGAAGTCGTGTAGGAGGATTCAGATGAGGCTTAAGCCATGGAGGTGGATGTCGTCGAGGAAGGAGTTGTCACGCAAAAGCACCGCTTCGGCCCAAGCCTACTGGCGAGAGGCCTCGCTCCGCTCGCTCGTTAGAAGTTACCCTTTGTCTTTATACTTGAATTTGGAGCATAACATAACACCAGCAGCTAGTATCTAGATTGGAACCATAGAAAAAAAGAACCATGCACCTTGGAGAGAACGGGGAAGATTTTTAGAGTTCGATCCACTCGTTGCCTAAGATAAAGACGAAGGGGATCAAACCGGAGTAGGTGACGAGAGAGGAGACAAAGGGAGGGTCGTTCCAGCCACCACGAGCGATGCGGGGATCGGTCGATCCAGTGGACCGGGCTTCCATAGCACCCCAACTAAGCCCAATCAACCACAGGGCTTGAAACTAGTCATGAGAGTAGCAGCCCATTAGGCAGATCGCCCAGGTCGCGGTAAACTCACCGTGAAACAATGATCTAATGGCCAGAAACGACTCAAATGCGAAATCTGAGGGCTGAAAATGCAGATAGCGTGAGAGAGCTCCGTTTAGTATATTTTTATTGTTTAGTATGTTTGTGGACCTATGGAGCTGTTATGCTTAGTTGTATGATTAATGTCTATGCCCAATGAACTATTGCATCTATGTTTCACTATGTTTCAATGCAAATTTGGGATTTAAAAAAAACTTCGGGGCAGATAAAGGGCGGATGTGTGTCGGGGCGGGGGTTGGGAGAGGACAATTGGGTACTATGGTAAATTGCGTACAGTCCCCATTTGTCCCGGACAGTTTGGTACTATGATGAATTGTGTACACTCCCAATTTGTCCAGACACCCTCAAACAAACAAAAATGAGTTTTTCCTAGACCAGGACCACCACACACATGAGCTAAGCTTGCCGCACTTTGTGCGACCATTACAAGTGCATGCATTTTTGTAAAATAGCATAAAGATGAAAAGTGCACTTCTCTAGAAAAACTTTCATAGAAATTGTACTATGTGAATTGCATTCCAAAAGATATCTTTTGTGAAATTCATTTTCCAAAATGGGGCTTAGATAAAAGAAACTATATTTCTCAAAGTTGAACTGTCAAAACAACATCATTTCTTATATCAAAAGTTTTGTGTAACATGTATGGGCAGCCAGCCCGGCGACCCGGCATAGCTTGTCGTCCTATGCGTATATTTAGTCAAAATTATCAAAAACATTTCCTAAAAAGTATAATATAGAAAAGCCATCCATTGATGTAGAGTTTCACGGTTACTTACACTTTCTTTGATAAAATACTAATATTTCACAAAAGCAGATTTGTAATGGTTTTGGCAGTTAAATTAGCTGGACAAATGTGGGAAAATACCCCTCAGAACCAGTTGTAGATGAACCTGATATGTGAAAAAATTAGCAATACAGAAAAAAGTAAAAAAATTCTTTGAGTTTGTTTCGAACAAATTTGACCTATTGGCATACTTGTATAAAGATTTGGACGTCGATAACTGCCACACGTGTGGTATATTCGACATGCGCCCACACACCGTGTGTGGTGTGAGCAGGAGGCATCCCACACGGGCTATGTGTGGGCAGATATTAGAATTGCACACACGTGTGGGCGCGGCTGCTTCGTGCCACACGCCAACAAGTACTACTCATCTTCACCCGGCGCGTGTGGCGCGAAGCAAAAATGCCCACACGTCCTGGCGCAACTACATTAGGTACACCGCGGGATGACAATTTAGTTGTCATCCTGGTTGGCAGATGTAGTTATCTGGGATGGCAAGTGTAGTTGTAAAAGCATGGCAACCCTATCTGTTTTGGTTAACTATAGTTGCTATGTCTAATTTATGGTAGTTGCCGCGTGTAATCAAACTGTAGTTCCGTGGGTGATTAACTACTTGTCATATATGGTCAAACAGTAGTTGTCATGTGTGTTTACCTAGTTGCCACGTGTGGTCCAACCATAGTTGCTGTCTGTGATTAACTATTTGCCACATATGGTCAAACAGTAGTTGCCATGTGTGGTCCAACCATAGTTGCCATGTGTTTTTATCTGGTTGCCACGTACGCGCAACTGCAGTTGCCGTCTAGCAAAAAATCACAGTTGCCATATGTGTTTACCTAGTTGCCACGTTCGTCTATCTGCAGTTGCCATCCACAACGTAGGAGTGTCGTGTGGGCGAAAAGTAGTTCGCCCACACGCGCATGAACTAGGTGGCTGGCTGTGTGGGCAGAAACTAGTTCACCCACACAACGCAGCTGGCAAACAGCATGGTGCTAGCGTGTGGGCAAACTCTCCAACGCCCACACACCAGCCCCGTCCTACGTGGTACACAAAATCAACCTTTTCATTTCAAGATTCGTGCAAAAGGCACTGGACGACGATCGAGGCGTGTGGGCGAGTTGGGTAACGCCCACACGTGTGGGCGTTAGTGTTTCTGAAACATTTTGACAAAGAAAAACTGCCGTCGGAAATCTGGCCAATTACAGGACAATAAATAGTGGATAGTAACTCTAATACAATGTTTTTTTTTTGCCACAATACGATGGAAGTCATATCTTCACAAAAACAATTACGTGAGCGTAACGCTTGAGCAAGTTTATTACCAAAAAATTCATGATTTTTCGATTATTTTTGCAATTACAATTTTGTATTGAAAAACGGGTGCAGCTACTCCAGGTTCCAAACGTTTCCCTCCGGCATGCGTGGCTATAACTTGTGCCCAACTTGTAAGCACTGATTTGTTCCTTTTTTGTTTTAATAAAATAAGAAGGATTTTCCCTTTTAAGGTGTCGTTTTGTGAGATGAGACATAAGAAAGGTGTGCGGGAATTTATGCATATATGTTTGTCTGGTGTTGATATTTTATTCTAGAATCCTGGTCAGACGTACATATGTTTGACTTTTGTGGAAATTTATGCACCTTATTAATGTGACGCGGTAGCTTGTATACTTCAAAACCTGGATTTGTAACAGCCGTAGTACTACCTCCATCCTGGTTTATTGGTTCCCATTGTATTTTGTGTCAATTTTTTACCATATATTTAACTAACAAAATGTTCATGCATGTCATCAAATGTTATATCCTTGAAAACTATATTCAAATACGAATCTAATGATATATTTTTTGTTGACATGCATTGATATTTTGTTAGTTAAATCTTTTGGTCAAAATTTGACACAAATTACAAAGGTCACCAATAAACCAAGACGGAGGTAGTAGTTAGCTATACGTGGGTCGGTACAATGTGTGCCGATGTAAGCATTTACCTGTCCCTTTCTTCTGGGAGGAACTTACCTGTCCCTTTTAAAGTGTGGTTTTGTAATACGTGAGTATGTGACATCAAAAATAAAGGGTGTGACTTTGAGAAATGCATCCTTGAAACTTGAAATCATAGGCTCTTGGTAATCTGGAGAAAGACAGTGTGACTTTTTCTGGGAACTCACTTTGAATTTTATGGTTTTAATTATTGGAATGTCTTATTTATTTTAACAGACCAACCTTATAAACGTACGTGGCCCGAGTGTTACAAAATAATCCACGGAATTTGTCTTGGTTTGCACCATCTTCATGAGCGCTGTATGATTCATAGAGATATCAAACCTGGCAATATACTACTTGATGATGACATGACTCCGAAAATTGCGGACTTTGGTCTGTCGCGGCTCTTGGTGGATGGAGAAAGCGGAAAGGTCACAAACTACCACTATCTAAAAGGAACACTGTGAGGAAAATCCCCCCTCCCCCAACACACACACACACACGCACACACAGTATTTCATAGTTGAAGCCGACAAACGTTTCAAGCATGACTGTCAAAACATCAAATTTCATGCAAGGGATACATGGCACCAGAATTCCTCCATGATGGAAAATACAGTGTCAAGTCGGACATATTCGGTTTGGGTCGCATAATCGAAAAAATGGTGATAGGATGTCATACGACCTCAATGGAGGAGACTGCCGTAAGATTTTGCTTTTTCTTTTTTGGTATGGAGAGATTGTAAGAAGGAACGACATCATTGGTCAAAGTTTCCAACTCTTTACTTGCGAATCACAATGTAGGTGCTCGTGTGGGGTCCTCGGCTGGATCATCTGGATGCGTCTGAGAAGAGCACGGCATTGGAGCAAGTGAAGGAATGCATCAAAATATCAGCAGACTGCACACAACATGAAGCAGCGAGCAGACCTGCCACACAGTACATCCTCGCTAGGCTTACGACTCCGGGAAATTCGCACTGTTCTGCCGCAGGTGGCATAAACACATCCACAGTGCCAGCACAAATGGTATATAAACATTTCCAGTTAAATTTTGGCAAAAACATGCGACCCCTCCGGCTCGCATGTATGCCATCATTTTCATTTGTTGTTGGAGGCAAGCTCTCTCTTAGTTAAGGTTGATTGTTGTTTTCACAAACGCAGACTCCGGCGCGGGTAGACACAACGACCGGCGTAACCAGCTACAGGATGCTTTCAGCAAGAGAATTACAGATTGCAAACAACAGGCCCGGGCACTGGAGTTGGAGTTCCCACCCACTCCCATATTCCAGCAGGTTTGCACGCAAACACTTGAGGCACGGAAATTTGTCCAGCGAGCAACTTTTTGCTGCTTGATCAATGAAATGTATTTTATAACACTAATTTGTTTCCAAAATGATTAGGAATGAAGAATTTGCGGAGCTGATAAGTGTCTACTGCCTCGCGGTCACCGGAGAGGTCCAGCCAAAGGACCTCTCCGCCGGCAGAAGCTACACGGTTTACCTCGTGTACAAGCTGGCGATCATCAACGCTGGACTGGATGCGGAAGGATCGGTGCAGACGTCGTCACTCAGGCTCTACGGCAACAGGGTCTACCCCATGGGCAAGGTTAGCCTCCACCCCGAAGCGCCCAGAACGGCCGACCACGTCAACCACCCTGTCTCGAGGGGCGATGGCTGGTTGGAGCTTAGGCTGGCAGACTTCGCAAACGATGGCGAGATGCTGACAGAACAGGGGGTCATCGTGGATCTCCGCGAGGAGAACCTCAGCGTCGAGAAGCGCGGGATCATCGTGAAGGGCATGGAGTTCAGGAGCAACTAGTGGTGTGCGCACACCAGACATTTGTGGCCATTTTATTCATATTTTCATATGTAATAAGCCTAGCTCGGCAAACAAGCGTTAAGTGGCCGAGTCCACAATTAAGCCAGCGATCCGTTCATTCGTATGGACTGTATCAAAATATTATGGCATTTTAACTAATATTTGGCTTTTCTAGTTATCATTCAATTTTGCTGCATTTTTAATTAATAGTGCTACATTTAACTAAATACTAATAAAGCAAGGATTTTTTCTAAAAAAACTTCATTGTAGTCTATAACATGAGAATGATTGATATAGCTGACCTATACCGACACTATAAGCACGCCATGGTTAAGATTTTTTATTCGAGCCATCCAAATATTTAACTCAGTTTCACAATCATCCATTTGATGATTATGGTCAAATATTATACTCCTCACATCACCCCTGAACTTAATTTATAGTTGTACTAATTTCCTTAAAATCTTGTTTATATGATATCTCTCTGATATAATTTAAGATCTGCTCCAATTATATGCATGTTATCAAGAAATTGCTAAGTATTTTTTATTTACCTTGCTCTATACAGTATATGCTAAAAAAACAATGCTTTACAATTGTTTTAACTAAAGTACCAAACAATCATATAGAGGCATGTCTTAACTTAGAGACACTCCTTCGGTCACCATAAGGTGGCTTAAACATAGAGACATGATTTGAGATATTTTTATCATACCGATGGAATTTGTGCTTACAGGCGTTTACACACATATAATAAATTACTGCAATAAATCAGCGACAAGCATTTTTAAGACACTCCATCGATCTCTACCGTATGTTATGGCTAGACACGTGCTTGATGTTCTATTTACATTAGGAAGAGACTTCTTTTTCACAACTTTGAGACATCTAGCGTACTACTAATGTACTCATAAGAAGTTCATTTGAGTGTTGCCAAAATCTTATATGAGGTTGAGTTGGTTAAATTCTTAAGTTACTTCCCTTGATGCCTTCAGTTTAAAGATCGCTTCCGACATATCTCTATAGTGTATTTTCCTTATGATAGATATTGTCTTACTAAGTGTGTTATGAATGTAAAAGAATATGCCGCGCCTCCATGAGAAGTCTGATGGTATATGAAGACCATGTATTAGTGTATTTCAACCGTACTGACACTACCAGTGGTGGCATTTCTAGCTAGCAATTGGGAAAGTGTATTGCAATCATGTAGGAATAATTATAGTGTTCTATCAACTGAAAATAATGCCTCTATATGTGTCTGAGCAACAAAATTAACTACATGGATGAATTAGGTAGCTTGATGGACAAAAAATATGCTACGTGAATTGTCCTTTTGAAACTTCCACAAATGGATTATTTATCAGAACTAGAAAAGGAGAGATAACATAAATGAATAAGGTCATAAAAAAGAATGAAATGAAAATAAAGCAAGTCAAAAAAAGGAGAACATATTTAAGAACTAAAAGAGTGAAAGAGAAGAAAGTAAAAAAATAAGTTGAAACGAAGAAAAAAACTTTTGTGAGTTGGCTCAACATGGGGAAGTGTGGGGGAATCTACCTGCTTCCGCTCCTGCAAGAAGAGGGAGATAGAAGCACAGGCAAATCCTATTCGCCGCTCTGAGCATAGAAGCACAGGCAAATCCTATCCTGCCAAAAACTGTCAGCCAAATTAACGCATAGAGCTAACGAGTGAGCAACAGAAATAGACCGTCCCATTTAGCAGCCATTTTGTACCTTGGTTTCCCAATTTTGGGAAACTTTTGAAAAGTTACTGTCCGTGTTATTACCGGTTTTGTTGTTTCTTTACTAGTTTTCTGGTTTTGCTTTTTTTTATTTCTATTTCTTAGTTTAGTTTTCCTTTTCTTTTTTGTTAATTCTGTTTGTTTTTTTCGTTTTCCTTATTTCACAAATATAAAAAGAAATGTTTCTGATTTCATAAAAAACGCACATTTGAGAAATGTTTGTGTTTGAAAATAAGTTTGCAAATTTGAAAAACATTCGTGTTTAAAAAAATGTTCTAGATTTGCAGAAAATATTCAAAATTTGGAAAAAAAATTCCAGAAAAAGGGTTGCACATTGTTTTATAGAAATAATCCGTATTTTCAAAAAATGTTATAAATTTGAAAAAATGTTCTAGTTTTTAAAATATTTGCAAGTTTGATTTTTTTCATCATTTGAAAAAAATTGTGGTTTTAAAAAAAATCACGTACAAAAAATGTTCGCAAATTCAAAAAAATTGTTCGCATTTAAAAAACTGAAATGTTATTTGCTGGATGTTTTTTCGCAAATTTTAAAAATATGTTCTGCTTCTTGTGGTTTTTATAATTGGCTACTATTCAAACACTATACACTTGCACTTGCTTAGTAAATAAAGTTTTAGTCCATGGTCAAGAAAAGTATGACAGCGCCATCATGCACTGATGTTGGGCATATATAAAATTATGGTCCAGACACTTTGTGGACTTGAGTACCAAAGCTCTTGCACTTGGTATGGAGGCAAAGAGGGGGGAAGTTTCTTCTTCAGTGCATACTGCATACTAGCTGAACGCGTGGGTGTCGCTAACTCGTTATGTATTTAAAGTAATTGACATGGCACACTGATAACAATGGAACCCATTCTAATGTGCGGAAGTATTTTAGCATGCCCTTCCTATGCACAAGCATCTTACAATTTAGTTACTGCTGCAGTCATAGCTACAAAACGTCCCCATTACAATTTCCAGTGCACAAGTGCACTTGCACACCCCTGGAAATCTTGAAGGATGACGGCCATCTTGTTCTCGGACAAAATCCCTGTTACTAAGGATTAGTTACATAAGGCGATCTTTATCGGAAAAAAATGTTGCATAAGGTGATCAGCAGGGGTGGAAATGACAATTCCTACAGAAGCTTTAGCCCTCCGTTGTGAATCCCTCCGAGCTCAGGGTGATGCCAACACCAAGTTCTTCCATCGCCGGATTAATGCTAGAAGGAGGAAAAATCACATTCATAGGCTAAAGCATGACCAAGGGTGGATCACCGAGCATGACACTAAGGAGAAGCTCATTCTGGACCACTTTTCTGAAGTGATGAAAAAAAGGAACACATGCAATAAGGATCTAAATTGGGAGGAGCTCAACTTAGAGGTACATGACTTGCACGGCCTTGACTCACCCATCACCGTTGAGGAGGTACGTGAGGCAATCAATGACATGCCAAGTGACAAGGCGCCCGGGCCGGACGGCTTCACTGGAGCTTTTTTTAAGAAGTATTGGGACGTCATTAAATTTGACATGATGAGGGTGATACACCAGTTTGACTCCCTGCACACATCTAGTCTCCACTGGCTCAACTCTGCAAATATAGTGTTGTTGCCCAAGAAAGAGGGCGCGGAGGGGATTGCCGACTACAGGCCCATTAGTCTCATTCATGCCGTCGCCAAGATTATCGCAAAAATTCTTTCCATCCGTCTCGCCCAGCACATGAACAGCTTGGTCTCCAACGCCCAAAGTGCATTCATCAAGAGCAGAAGCATCCACGATAACTTCATGTGTGTCCGGAACTTGGCCCGTAGGCTACACAAATGCAGGACTCCATCTCTCCTGTTCAAGCTAGATATACGCAAAGCCTTCGACTCGGTCAGATGGGAATACATCCTCGACCTCCTTCGGCGGAGGGGGTTTCCCCCAAGTTTCGGGATTGGATTGCGGCTCTTCTTTGCACATCATCTTCTAGCATTTTGTTAAATAGGGTGCCTGGCAACCCCATCAAGCACGGTAGGGGCCTTCGGCAGGGGGACCCCCTATCCCCGCTCCTTTTTGTCATTGCAATTGACACACTCCAACAACTACTGGAGCTGGCAACCCGAAAAGGACTACTCCACAAAATTCGTGGGAGAGGGATCATGGTGCGAACTTCACTCTATGCAGACGATGCGGCTGTTTTCATGGCTCCAATCAAAAAAGATATTGACAACCTCTCAGCCATTTTCAGCGGATTCGGGGAGGTCACCGGGCTATGCACCAATTTTCACAAGAGCTCGATTGTGCCCATTCGATGCAACCACCTAAACCTGGAGCACATTCTGCAAGGATTGCCAGCTATCAGGGCGTCCTTCCCCATAAGATACTTGGGTCTTCCATTGTCCGTCTGGCAGCTTAAGAAGGTGGATTTGCAATTTCTTGAGGACAAAATTGCGGGAAAGTTGGTGACATATGAGGGGCAAAACATCACCACCATTGGACGAACGACCCTTGTTAAGTCTGTCGCCACCTCGCAAGCGGTCTATTTCATCACATCTTTGGTCATACCGCCGGGCATTCTTCACAATATCAACAAATTGGAGCGGGCTTTCCTTTGGTCGGGATCGGATAAGACGACGGGCGCCAAGTGCAAGGTAAACTGGGACATGGTTTGCCGCCCGTGCGAATATGGCGGCCTTGGGGTTCTCAACACCGATAAATTCGCGCGGGCCTTGCGCTTGAGATGGCCATGGTTTGAGTGGATGGCACCACAAAAGTTGTGGGTGGGCTTGGGAAATCCATGTAATGAGGAGGACCTTGACTTCTTCTATGCGTCCACGACCATCACCATGGGGAACGGCGCTAAAACGCCTTTTTGGGATTCTCCCTGGCTCCATGGGTGCAAGCCTAAGGATGTTGCCCCGCTCGTCTTTGCGGCCTCCTCAAGGAAGAATTGGAAGGTGCGGGAGGCCCTACAAAATAATGCATGGATCCTCAAGCTCAACACCTCCACGGTTGTCTCCGTTGGGCACATCCGACAATACTTCACGCTATGGGCACTTGTGAACGATGTGCATCTGGACGCACTCTCTGAAGATACTATTGTGTGGAAGCATACGACAAGCGGGCACTACATTGCGGCCTCCACCTACAAGGCCCAATTTCTTGGCTTGGTTCTCTCTCCCATGGACCAAATGGTTTGGAAAGCTTGGGCGCCATCAAAGGCTAAATTCTTCGCTTGGTTGGCTATCCAAGACAGAATTTGGACCGCGGATAGACT